ATATAGGTTCCAAAGCGTAAAAAGATCTGGTTGTTCCTTGCAGGAACGCAGTTGCATGATGACCGTGACGTTTTTACATCACAGTCAAGTCAAGAGTTCATCGCTTGATGCTGATGGTCTTTATGTTTTTTTACGTTGGACGGAAAGGCTAACGCATGGAAATTAGGGACAGGATGAGGAAATAGACATCAGACGGACACTCAGGAATGGAATCGATTTTAACTTACAAATGTGATGTAGACATGCGCAGTAGCTGTTGCATGCTCTGTTAATGATATTTGCGAAAGAAGTATTGCTTACCTGAAAACGGCAATTTGAAAAATAACATTATATATCTAAAAGTATTTGTTTATCTTCAAGTCATGTTCATGAAAGAGAAGTTTTTCTTGCTTTTACAAAGATCACATGGAAAGTTTTATACAGCGATCCAAAGCACCACAGTGGTAGTCCATCGTCCCTTACCACATACTTCCTGCGTTCCCCACACATCTTAATAAAAAAAATACTTAGGTATAAACCACACTTTTTCCATTCAAGATGGCAGACCCACAAATTATTGTAGCATAATTACGGTCATTGGCTGATTTTGAAACTGTAGCGCATCTGGAGTGACACATTTAATTTTGAATTTGAGGGGCTTTTTTTTGCCCAATGCATCAATTTCGTGGCAGTGCGCGATCACGTGAGTAGACTTCTCCGTTGGCATTATCCCTAGCGTTTAATTTTAGTTTTCTCGTCATTCACATTACCTTCCTTTCCGGGTCACTTTTTTAGCGTGTTTACGAGAATTCGCCCACTACCGGTAACATGAAATCTAAATTAGACCAAATCATTCAATAAGGCGGCCTAGAACCTTCGGGAATTGGATCTCGCATTTCCTGGAAATTATTAATTGGCCTTTCCCCCTTTTTTAATAAAAGTAAAATTAAACGGCTATTGCCCTTAGCGGTGCTTGACCGCAGACAGGATAGGCAGTCATTCCCGAGGGTGTAGCTGGAGCACTGGGAAATCATGGCGGAATTCTTAATTGTTTTCCGAAAACCAAGAGACCGTACCTCAAGAGTGGCTGTGACATTCGGCCATTTGACCACTTCGTCCATTTTGTGTTGAAATGTGTCGTAAGATTTTATGGAAGTATACTGCTTGTTTGGTTGTTATGATGTTTGTTTTATTTGGTTTTGCTTTAAAATGCTTTACAGCAGTCTCATATATATTTAAAATAACAATAATTTTAATTCAAATTTTGGTTGACACTGCGTAATATTTAAGTTTGCACCTAAGGTATATTTTACGTTTCACTACGACGTGATCTGTTGGACAGATTGCTTAACCTTACTACTCATTTAACCAAACTTCCTTGCCTTTTGGGCCTGTTCCCGGTTCTTGAATGGGATGCTTAAGTTTTGCTTAAATGTTTGTTTGCCAATTTAAGCACAATCGTCTTTTCCTTATGGTGAACCAAGTACAAGCTTTGAATTCTTTTTCGTAGTTGGTTGCATGTATTGGAGTCCGTCTGATCACGGGCGTAAACCTTAGGGGATCAGAGGTATATATCCCGCCTTTCTGAGTGGCCGGCTGGGGGCTTTTGAATCACCCCCCCCCCTGATTTGTTCATGGTGAGAGAAGGAACTTAAGACGGATTTCTGACTTCCCATCAACCAAAATGTATTCAATTGCCCTCCGAAAAGGAGAAAAACTTTAAAAGAAAAACCGTACATCCATTGTTTTTATGTAACTCCTGCGGGAGTGTCTGATGCACATCTTTGTCATGAACATCGCCCCCAGGTGTAATATGGTTTACCCCCCCCCCCCGCTTTTCAAATGTTCATGGCCGGGCGTGGGCAAGCTTCCCCGCACCTCATCCCCCCTTTTCTGGCACGTATTAACACCCATCTGATTGTACCAATAATGAATCCATCCACCACTGTCAAAAAGTGCATTTACGTATTTTCCTTGAGAGCGGATTCTGAAGATTCACTTCTGTGGTACTTGTAGGCTAACTCCTTTCTGTTGAAATTGGCAAAACATAGGCTCTGTAGGCCGTGACCTCTTTAATCGGCGTATAGTAGAATACCAGCGATGCCAGCACAGTGCCCAACAGGTCAATGCGAAAATGAAAGCGCTGACCAAAACGTTCAATTGGGTAAAAAATTGTTGAGGTCTTGTCTCTTAGCTTGAACCTTCAGACCATGTAGAATAGCATGTAATTCCGACAGTGGTGCCTTTCACAGGTGATATTGGTGAAGAAAAAGGGAACGAAAGAAGCAGTATGTATTCGATTACTGAATTTAGTTAAGTTAAAAATAAGAGCACGCATTGTGTACAGTGGGTTAGTGGAAGTTTGTAAGTTTAATAGTGAAGATTATTCGCTGAGGAAAAGACAGTTGAAAAACACACTGAATGTGCACAGCTTCAAAACCTTTCTCAAATCTTTCTTGTTTTTTTTTCAGTCACGATGTTGCGATAACCATGAGTGCCAATGAGGTTTGCATTATTATGGCTTCAGATTTTGTCTGAATGGCGGATGGTTTAATTCTCCTTCCATAGTCCTTTAAAAAAGACTACAATACCGCCATAAGCCCAAGTAAAGGTGAACTTGGGACCAGTAGGTTTCAAGGAACCTATCCAGACTGTTGTATATCCAAACTCACCAACATTTTTCCTTAAAGAATCACGATGAAAACAAGGTATTAGCATTTTCTGATTCAGTTCTGTGGGTACGCATTGTTTGTTTTGTGCAAGGCAAAACATGGAAAACGAAACCAGGCTAAACTTTCTCAGACTTCGGGAAGTGGTAATGAAGCGGCTGGGCCGTGCACGAGACTAGGAAGCGATGAGTTTCAGTATGTCTTGGGAGCGTCATAAGGCGGATAACTCCTCTCAGCTCACTCTGTCTAATATGTACATAACTACGTAATTCTGCACGAATCCCTGCAGCTCCTTTGAAGCAAACCCCGCTCTACCTTAACACAATATTGTTTGCCGATGCCGCTTAAAGGATAAAAATAGCAAGTGTATCTTTCAAGCAGTCCCAAAGAAAAAGCCACTTACCTATTAAAAATGAGTTATCTGTGCGGTAATCCTGAGCAGTTAGTAATGTTTCATTGGTCGTGCTCTGTTTAACTCTTGCTCATTTTGTAAAGTCATGAGGTTTTATCATGGTAGGGAGACAAGTGCAGTTCTTGCACATAAGTAATACTTGAGGGCGTGTTTATCAAAGTGTAATAACACCATTATGTTCGCTTTTCTTCCCAAGTAATGGGGCTATTGCAAGCCCCAGACAGACTCATCTCATGACGTGCTTTGGAAGCAGACCTTGATATCCATGTAGCAAAGATTATGACAATATGCACCAAGTACCCAATTGCTTTAACATGAATTCGTAGATGCCGTGTCCTGCAAGAGTTACAGAATGTTATTTATCTCGGTCACATCTTTTCTTGAGCTCGTCTCGTGACAGCGACGGTAAAAGCCATCTTGTTATTCTATTAGATGGCTCTTCATGCGCTACAGAGGGAGAAAGACAGGGCAGTTCAGTAGGACTGTTTTCCGAATCAAGCGTGTTTACGTGGAGATGTTGCTCCCCCTTTGTGGGTGACATGATGGGATGATTGTACATGAATGAGCGGAAGCTTGAGACACATGAAGCAAACTAACTCTTGAAAAGTTTGCTGCGATATTAACTTCCGGATAAGTGGAAAAATGCCTGTGTTGAATATCTATACGGGGATAAATTTCCTTCAGTCAAGGACGGAAATATTTGCCAAAAACTGACCTAGAAGAAGACGCAGTTGGCCTTTTAGGACCCGCTCCTTTCTCGTTTCGCGTTTTGTTTGTCGTTTTTACTTTGTATTTATGTGTACTTTATCCTTGTTTTCCTTTGCTGTATTTTTGATATTATATTTAAAACGCTGCTTCTTGCATACTAAGAAAAAAAGCACTTGGATTTAATTTTGGCCCATCCGGGAAAAAGGTTATGATGTTCATGATATTGTTCTCCACTTAGATATGTTTATTCTATTGTAAATTGCTTTGAGTTTCTATCAATTATACTTGCTTACCGTTACGCTGTTCCGCAAGAAAAAAATTACGTTGCATCTTTAAGATGCATGGTTGAAACAAGTACACCTATATTAAGTCGGTTCGTCAACCCCACAAACGTGTTATCCAGGTGTCAGCCAACCACTTATGAAGTAATGTAGCAATCACCGCGCGTTAGTGGCACGCGGTCAGGCCTCGACACTGGCCCCAGCTGTGTCTGTGCTACACGCGGGACCAGACTGGAGTCTCATACCGAAGTGTGAAACTCGCTCTGGGAAAAAAACTGCTTTTTTCACTTTCTCTCTCTGCACTGGCGTGTGGACGAGGCTGCGTGCAACGTTTACAATAATAATATATATGGTGTGGATGTTGAACGTACTATACGGCTCATTACATGTTCCAGCAGTCAGTTCGGCTGCATCAGTGCGGCATAATCGGTGTCTGTTATAGTTTCTTTATTGCTTTTAATTCGTTGAAGGTTGCCATAGACCCAGCATACATGTACACTGGCGTAGCTTGCGCGACAGGGCCTCTGATAATCATATCAAGATAACCCACTGCACAGACAATACCACAGCGTTGGGGACAATTGTTTCTGCATCAGTTATAGTTTAATATTTGCATCGTTCAGCCCATCGTTATTAGACAAGCACGCATATACACCTCCGGTATACCGAACAATTGCATATGATTCATATTTGCATAAACGGGCTCATTCGGACCGTTAATATCGTCAGGAGAATTGGCCGTGGTAGACATATCTAGCTAATTGGAGTGCGCTTGGATATGTTCCCTCAGTGCAAATTACCGGTATAGGACAGAGACCCGTTTGCTTGGATGGTATTCAACAAGCGGGGGGAAAACAGCGTCGTTGAGCAACGTCGATTGTCCGCCTCCACTTCTGGCGGAACTGCTTCCTCATTTTTTAAAAGCTATATTCCCGGAACTTGTGTCGTCAGCTACAGGTTAAGCACTTAGTCACGACGAGAAGAAAATAAGGGAGACAACTCCAGACACCGCGCCATCGGAAGCGAAACTTGAAGTGGTTTACCCAGTCATCTGGCTACAGTTACAGTCTTTCGGTAAGTTCGTTGTTTGGTTTTTTGCATGTTTTCTTTGGTTGGCTTAGATTGAAAACTTTAACCCCAGAGGAACGATATAGTTCCTTTCCCTGCAAAAAAAAATACAGCAACCTAATTAAACCACTATATGCTTCCTCACCTGTTGCAAAAAGTTTATTATAAGAAGTGATCAATGAAAAATAGTCTTATGTGTTATCTACTCTGACAACTGCAAATTCAAGATGTTTTTATACCATTTCGACTTCATAAGGTGAAATAACGGGAAGGGAATTTACTCTTAGCATCTCAAAACGACCCCAGCTTCGTCTCTCTGTGGTACTCGACAGAATATCATAACCCAAGTTCAGCTGACCCTTTAACTGTGCTTTGAATTGCACTGTTGACTCTTTAAGCCCGGTGAATTGTGCAAGGATTATGAAGATATTCGACATCGCCATTTCCAGTATGACTTTCTAATTTCCAATATCGCATGCAGCTCGGGTGGCCGCGCTAAGCACGAGAGACATAGGCCCTATTGTCCAATCAGCTTCGGGCTCATTTTGAGTTATGCAGTTAGCTGATAAGTAATAACTAAATGGTAATATTTTCAAGAATAATCTAATGATGGCCGGATAGCTTGCTCGCACATGAATGTTGAATCATTAACATTTCTGGTTACAAAGGGTAGCTAGCATTTCCCTTAAAATATAAATTCATGCAATGCTGGGGGGGTGTTTCCAAAGGTTCCTCCTGTTTACAGTGTACTCGGTTCCATTTGGGTTGGTCGGTCATATTTCCTCCAAAACCGTGACTCCACAGGAACATAATACCATTCTGTGTCCTGTGCAAGATGTTGGCCTCGTGTATGATTTATACATGCAGTTTTTTTACGTGCATCATGATGAATATCTACAGCAAGCTCATCAAAACCTGCATATTGGTTGAGAAGATTTCACTTGCACCTACCTTTGTCCCCGTACGGTTTCTGTTTGCTGCCCGTAAAGACAGTTTGATTCGAAGCGAAACGACAGGAAGGCAAACGGAACGGGTAAGTAGCACTAGTCCGCCTCCACGTCGGATGAGATTGTTTCTCCATTTCGTGTGCAATTCTCGAATTCCCGTCGCCTGTTTAAGGTAAATCTCTTTGTCACGCCGAAGAGGAAAATTAAGGACACTGTTTCTCCACAACGCACGCCTTCAGGACGAAGCATAACCTGATGATTTCTTCCACTCTACAGTTTAATTATTCGTAACTTGTAATTATTGGGGATTCTATTTTTTTGTCCTTTGTTACGAAAAAGATTCATACCTCCACCCTATTCAAAAAACAAACTTCATTCTCTTACGTAATATTTCCAAGGGAATAATTAGACAAATCTCAACAACTTCCTAAATCAATACAGAATTCTACCGACAGCCTGTATACTGAGCATAAATCACACAAATTGCACCTTATTTTCTACATTTTCCATTTGCCCCTAAAATGTTGCACTTTAATTTCTTTCAGTTTTTAATGGATTTTTTCACCTCGACATCCATTCTCGACACATATCTAAGTACAATGTAGTTCTCATATAGAGGTTTGTTGTTATTTACATTTGTTATGCGGTCTGCGGCATGGAAGTAAAACAAAGTTCACATTTTACCGCCCAAAGGTTGAGAATATGATATCGCGTTACGTGTCTAATTCCTTTATAGAGCGTTCAAAAGGATGTGCAACCTCAGCCCAAAGCTTGTGATTGTTCGGCACAACGGAATAGTAAATAAACGTATCATTTTACCACTCGTTTTAATTTTGAAAACATTTCAAATGCGATGCCACCATATGCAGATATCATTTATTCCCTTGTCTGTATTTATAATACCGCCTGCATTGAGGTATATTTAAATAATTTCTAAATTAATAATAAATAAAATAAATAACAAATTAATAATAAATTTAATAAATGGAATAAATAATAAATTTAAATAATAAAATGATGTACAACCTCAGCCCAAAGCTTGTGATTGTTTGGCACAACGGAATAGTAAATAAACGTATCATTTTAACAATCGTTTTAATTTTGAAAACATTTCAAATGCGATGCCACCATATGCAGATATCATTTATTCCCTTGTGTGTATTTATAATACCGCCTGCATTGAGGTATAATTCAATAATTTCTCCCGTGGTCGGTTAAACATCCAATACTTCGCGTAGTTGGCGTTGTCTCGTTAAGCTACACATTTAGTCCTCCACAAACAAGCATCGGTTCTCAGGCAACGAGCAAGGAGACCTTAAAATGTACGAGGCAGCCAACGTGAATGGTAAAACGATGACTTTTTAGTTACCGTTAAAGTCGCCAAGCCCCAAAAGCCCTATTTATATTGGAAAACGTTCATTACTTTGATCTTCTTGTGAGTATGGGTGTTCTTTGGTCTGGAAACCAGACTTTACTCTGGTAACGACGAACTTTGAGGGAGTGAAATAGCAGCAACAATTGCCTGAGTTTGTAAAGAATAATCTAGTAGGAAACAACACGGTGCTCTGTGTGTGTAATGCTGGCATACCCATGCAGTGTTTGCATAAGTTGCAAAGTACGTGGCCTTCACCCCGTAAAATTTAATAGTTTTTCTATACCTGGAAAAGTGCATATTGTGGTCTGCGGACGATGTCAGCATGTACAGTACATCTGCTGTACTATTATGTCAAGGTGTAGTTTCTAATGGATACATTTTATGCATTTTCATTTTGATTCGTGTTTAACATGTTTTATGTTAACACTTATGCAGAATGTCCATTGGGTGCAGTACGTGAAATGTCTCGAATAACGCAATACCAACATCAAAGTTTTAAATATATGAAATTGTGTTATGATACAGAAGAGATTAGGTCAACGCACTGTTAAAACAGATGTGGTAACATTGATACCCGTGATAACATGCAGCTGTAGGCCTATGCATGTAAAAGTATAGGGGGTTATTATGAACGTTGGAAGGTTATTTTCTGTAGGTTGGCCATTTGCATTCCACAGATTAATTCAGAATCCGTAGCATGTAAATCAAAGTCAGTCGCCTGAGTCATATCGGCACTCATTAACATATGGATGACGTTGTAGTCTAAGTACTAAACGTTGTTTATGCGTTTGCTTTCTTATGGCACTCAGTGGAGCGGGGGTCCTCGCTAACGACTTCAGACAGAGTGTTCATGTGGACAAAAAGTGACGTCATCAGTATACATAGGCCCACTCTTTTTATATTAGCATACATCAATCCAACTGCTTTGTCATGTTTAACCCTAACAGTCCCAAATTTTCCAATATCAATACGATTTTACATACAGCCTAGGGGGTTAGGGTTAATCCCCCACTATTTGCACGTTGACGTAGTCTTTATGTTACCATGAATTCCTGAACTATAAAGTGTGACTTTGCGAAGTTACGTAATTTGTTTCAATTCCTACACACAACCATCAAAATTCTAACCATGTTTAGAAATCAAACATATTTACGAAGTCATACAGCAAGACAGTCGTTGGTATACTTAACACTGCTTTTTCAGTGAAATGACGGGAGAGTCAGGTTGATGTAGTGTTTCTTTCCTCGCCTTCCACCTCCGGGGGTCTGGGTTCGAGTCCGGCTGGGCCCACACGTGGACTGGGCTTTCAGTCCCCAGTAAAGTCCGTGGGTTTCCCTGAAACATTTATCCTGGGTCTTCCTCTCTCCTCCAAAACGGAACACTTGTTCATTGTCTTCTTCACTCATTATTATCCTTTAATTGGCGCTAAATGCGCTGTTGGATGAACAGATATAAATAAAGTATTTGTGTCAGTTGCCATGATCAGTAGTCACATGAGTATTTAATTTATTTGTGGGTATCCGTTTTGTACACCCTGCCTGAAAGTAGTTGCATGTCTAGTGTTTCATCACTTACCTGTGAAAACTGTGTTTAGCAATTAAACATTTCCTTAATACTTGTTGTCATAGTTATATGCGTAATATAGTTAAATTTGTAATATGTATATTGGTAGTGTTTTAAAAACTGAGCATTTGTGTTTAGGAATTGGACATGCTAATAGCTTCTAAACATGTTCAGCACCAAGATGGTGCTTAGGTGTTGTGCACAGTAGTCTGAATGTACCAACGTGAAACTGAGATTTCATTTGTGTGTTCTGAGGGTCTGTGTACAGCATGTAATCATCGTTTTGTGGCGGTTGGCAGCAGACTTCAGAAATACACTCGCTAATGAATCGGTAAAAATCAAAATTCCTCTCTTTAGAAGCACAGTTGTCAAGTTGATTTCTTAAATTGTTTCGTGTTGCATTAGTGGTGAACTGCGGTATGTCTTGGGCACTTGTGTCGCCTTCGAGAGAGCGCCCTCTCGAACAAAGACATGCACTCTTATGGCCAGTTTGTTTCACGCGGATCCGGATTGCAATCGGTGATCCAACAATGGTTCACTCACGCCAGAACCCGTCTAATGAATGGAGCGAACCAGCTTTGGGATTACCAATCGAGACCCAGATCCAGTGAAACAAGTGAACCTACCAGTGGCCATCTTACTAAGCCGAATACAATGATGATCGTTGGCTCGCGCGCTGTTGTTGCCACGATTCAGTTGGTTAACAATGACGAGCAAGCCTTTGTATCACCTTTGTATTCGGCACTGTAAGATGGACGGCGGTAGCTTCAGTGAACATCGTGTAATTAAGCAAATGGCGAGTCCAGAGTTTTTAGATATGATGTTCGTGAATGACACTGAGCAAGCACCGAGCATTGATTCGTGAGGGGTCGAACAAATGCGATATCTTGACTGCCAACCCCTGAAGGCTCGCCAGGTGTTGTTCGGCGGCATCTAAACACATCAGTCGGCAACGGCCAACGAATTATAGAGCCTGGCGAGGATTCGCCCTGGAGTTACGGGCACAGAAAGTGCCGCTTGCTCACGGATCGAAGAGGTGAATGAACGGGGAAACAATAAACGCAGTCTGAACTGGCTGCAACCGTTTAAAAGGATTATCAATGTTAATGAAACCTGACTGG